AAAAAAAATCTAACAAGGAAGATAATTCTGCCCTTTCACCATAAAATTCAACTTGCTTTTGTATTTAGTAACTGAAGATACGGCTTTTCAAACCCAAAGTTCAGATGAATTTTTTATGCACATAAGACAACTATAATTATTTGCATGAAAATTCAATAGCCATAGCAAGAGTTTCACCATGATTTTGTTTCTTCAAATTGCACTCAAACATCACTCAGTCTGCTAGTGTAACACAGCGCATGCAAGTATCTCCTTACCATTCCTCCCCAGAGCGCACACTGGTGGCAGATACACTTCTTACAGGTCCAGCAGAACACACTAAGTTTTTCATGATGGTTTTCACACCTTAAACAAAGAACAAACACAAATCATCAGCGGAAAATAGCCAGAGATTTTCTGTAAGTATCCTATAAATCAATTCAAAATCTTCTGTAAAATAAATTCTGTTCTTAGAATCCTCCCAATGCCTGCAAGAGTTACAGAGCAGGCTTATTAATAAAACTGGGTTTATACCCAGGAGCTAGAGGATATCATCACTGAATCTGGCTTGAAAATCTAGAAGTTAATATCTCACATCATTGAAACACCAACCAGAAGCAAAAATCTGCAACTGAAAGTAGCCACAGAGCACTGCCCCATAAGCTCCTTAGCCAAATGGACACTTATCAATCCTTAAAATTTCATGAACAACATTGATCAACAAACTGAACAAGAACCTCCATCACAAGGCTCTCCCTTTTGCCTCCACAAGGTTTTGGGAAGTTAGGGAGGAGGCGGGTATGGAATATGTAACTAGTCTCTGTCCACTGTTCCATGTTTGTGTTCACTCTTTTCTCCACTAAATCTTCAGAATACTTCTCAACAGACAAAATAACACTGATAATAGAACACAATAGTTGTTCCTAGAAGCAGAGTATACCTAAAAAACATGGGATACCCCAAAGACAAGAAAGGAGAATGAACCACAGTAACAGATAAGAGCCCAAACTTCAATGCCCAATTTTAAAGTTAGAAGGATTGAAACGTCCGTTCATATCAGACAAACTCTAAAGCCTCTGTGTGAAGAACGTTCCATTTACTTGTCTTTTTCGTTTTCTTCGTGCTTGGTGAGATTGCACAGTTGCAGCGTATCAAGTTGTTGCGTGACCTCTTCTGCCCAACGGCAGTTCACCAGCTCTCGCAGCTGCAGCGGGGCTCTGCAAGAAGCATTGCTGAAGTCAGAGCAAAAACACAGCTCCAGGAGCACAAATAAAATTCACTAGAATTGCTATGGGGTGCCAGGCTTGGGGGTACAGGGAAAGGGCCTCAATTTCTGAAAATCTGTGTCTGATATTAAAAACCTCTTACCTACAGTGAGGGCACTGAGCTCTTTGTTCAGTCAGCCAACGCTATAAAAGAAGGAGAAACGTATTAAAAACGGACTGTGAGAAGTGCAAGCAGCTACCTGTAAAACAGCTCCAAAGTGACAGACGTTACGACATTTTAACGCTCCATACTGGTATCTGAAAGATTGGTATTTGCTTTCTGCCTCCAACTGCCTCCTCCATCCACATAAGTATCACTGACTCGCAAGAGATGTTAAAGAAGGGGCCATTATAAGCCTGTTCCTTAAAAGCAACTCTTCCAGATAATCACTATAATTAGCACTCCTGTATATAATGCACAGCCTGCCTAGGCTTTCTCAGAGTGTCATAAAAGGCTTTTGAAAGGGAAAACAAATAGTACAGAAGAGGAAAAGGGAATCTTCTGAAAGGGGCAGGAAAAGAGCAAGAATGTGTTCCTAAGACCAGCAATTCTGATTTTTTTTTTTGATTTGCAAGAGTAGATTATGATAAGCAAACTCACCCGAATACAACTGAAACAGCACAGCTTGGAGCAATGGGGACACAGACGTGCATCACGCAATTTCTCCATACAAATGAAACATCGGAATACTTCAGCAATGCTCTGCAAAGATTAGATTAATGCTATTGTTATGCCACAGACTTCAAACATAGTAGAATTCCATCTACTTTCTAGGCAGAGTGCCAGGTTAAATAAACAGAATCCCATTTCAAACACATTCCATCTCAGAGCAGGTTACCAGCTCAAACATCACGGCTCTCTTCCTCACTCGTACATCCCACCAGCACCCAGTGTTCATTTTAAAACACTAATATTCTAGGATTAGCTTCCTTGTTCGGTTTATCTTTTACCAAGCAGGCATTTCTGTCAGACATTTTATTCCTACTCGCATTCACACGGTTAACAGTTGCCAAAAGTAACTATGCTGTACATGCAGATTCTCAGCCTAAGAATTTCAATGTGAATTAAACCCCTTTAAAGACATATTAAGTACCTGCATATATCATACAGGATGTTAACTAAAAGGGTTGATCATCACCTCCCCCCTCTCTGCCCTCCCTCACCAGTTAAATCTTGGGCAAT